TGGGAGCTCCTGGCTGACAGGGGCTGCCTGCAGGACACCTGAGGAAGCTTCGACCTGCCTCCCGGCCTGAACATGTGGCAAGGGCAGCCCTTGCACCTGCTCACTGAGCGGCTCCTGGGAAAAGTTGTAATCCACCCACTGTTCTGCTTCTTTGCTCCCTCTGACCACTTGCTCATTTTGAGGACATTTGTGAACCACCTCCCCTGGACCAAAGGCAGCACAATTCCGAGCACAAGGGCACTCCCTGCCTGATTACTAGGTCATCTTCTGGCATTTCCTTTTAAGCCAAACTAGCCCAACCAAGCAGTCCATGTGAATGAGTTTAAACAGCCCCATGAGAAGGGGACAAAAATTCTACTTTGCAGAAGGCAAATCACTTTCCCAAAATCACACAGTAAGTCAATGATACAGCAGGGACTAGAATCTAAAGCCCAAATTGCCCAGAATTTGTAGTTAGCAAGAATATCAAGGAAATCCTAACTGGCTCTAAGTCTCAGTCTTCTAACCTATAAGATGGGTACCATACTTTCTTATGGATGAGAACACAAGCAGTGAAGACTTCTTTCAGTATAGGGCTGCCATAGCACAGGACCGGGACCGAGTAAGAGCAATGGCACCATCAGTGGCTGTCATGGCTGTCTGTTACTCGCTCCCCTCTCCTTCCTGCCCCTCAAGCCTATTCTGTTTCCAGGCTACTTAGTGTCGGGGTGGGTAGATAAAAAAGAAGGGAGCAGTTCATGTCCTCAATCACCTCTTCATTGAATAGCTTGCTGGTGTCTTTCTTGATGAGGTCCAGATACTGCACCTGGCCGGCAGAGAAGCCCACCAGCAGGGAAATGGTCTCTGTGGCAGCTGTGAACTGGTTGAAGTCGTGGCAGGTGGGCTGGGTCCCCTTGTAGATCCGCTTGTCGATGGGCTTGTTGAGATCAATGGACTTGAACCGTGGGAGAAGACGAGTTACAGGTTAGAGCAGGAAGAGGAAGGAAGAGGGAGCTGGGGTCAGCGAAAACCACCAAGAGGAAGCAGGGTTAACCTCGAGAGAATCGGGTGGGTGGGTAGGGAGGAACAGGCAACCACAGACTGGAAGGGGATTCAAACCCAGAGCACACACACGCCACCCAATAAAGATCACAGACCCTTTCCAATCGTAATTTAGGGGCAGCTACCCAGAGTGTCAGCTTCAGAGTCCCCGTGAGCCTGCAGCTGACTCTCCTCAGTTTTCCTAGCCCCTACTACAGGAGCAATTCCAGCGGGAGTTAGCTACCACCATATTCTAAGACCCCCCCCCCAGGACCCAAGGACTTAAAAATCCAACATCCTAAGATTTCTTTTTTTCTTTTCTATATGTACATGTAGTATGTGCCTATGTGCTTTGTGTGTGCATTATGTGTGTGGCTATAGTGGTTAACACTGAGCATCTTTCTCTGCGGCTCTCCATCTTACATTTGACACAAGGTCTCTCATTGAACCTGGACTAGCTGCCAGTGAGCCCCGAGGACCCTTCTGCCTCTGAGCTCCCTGAACTGGGGTTGCAGACTCACACAGGTGCACCCTTTGGGTTACCGGGACCCAAACTCAGGTCTTCATGCTTCCAAAGCATACATTCCATCCACTGAGCCACCTTTGAACCCTCATTTCTTTCAACTTGGGAGTCCCTAAAACTTCGGCACCTCTGTCACAGTTGAGACACCCATCAGTCATCACGGTCCCTCATATTTTGGATACACAATCACCACTGGATTCTCACGGTCCTCATTTCTCCTCCACCCCAACCCAGCCCTTCTGGGACTCAGCTGCTTTAGAGATGTCTGTCACATGTGGGGATGACCCCTGCTAGTAACCCCATCAACTCAGAATTCCCATCGGTTCCTCCAAACTCCCTTCATTTCCTGCAAAGCCTTTAGTCACCATATACTTTAGGATCTCATTCACCAACGGGTGAGTGTTTGTAGACCCCTAAGTTACACCTCTAGTCCTCCGTGCCTTTTACCTGTAAGAACCCCATCATTTAGAAATCCTGTCACTCCTGGCTTTGGCAAGTCTCAGGGCTCCCTCCAACATGCCCAGAATTCAGAATTTATCTCTCCGTTCTCCATCTCCCTAGTCCTGCATCCCCTTAGGATTCCCTGACGCCTACAGAACGCCTGTCACCTCGGATTCCATGACCGCCCATGTCCTCTCAGAAGCTCCATCACGTCCAGAACACTCACTCACCACGCTCAAGAACCCCCACGTGAAGATCCCCCTGCAACCTCTCAGAACTCCATTAGCTCCAGGAACCAGGCTCCCCCGGGATGCCCACCCTCGGGGCCTTCTGTCACTCCGGGACACCGATGCTCTCGGCACTCGGGTCCCCGTGAAGAGCGAGCACTCACCCGCTGGCTCCCGCGGCGGCAGCAGCCGGGGTAGAAGTAAAGCTCGCGGCCCAGGTTGAAGCAGACGCGGTCTCCTCCCGCACCCAGTCCCGAGGGCGTGGAGGGCGGCTCCCCCGCGCCCTCCGGCTCGCCTAGGCGCACCAGGCTGAGGCGGACGGCGGGCAGTGCGGGCCCGGGTCCGGGCCCGGCGGGCGGCGGGGACGACGCGGGGCCTGCGGCTCCGGGCCCTGAGGCTGCGGCGGGCCCGGGAGGGGGCTGAGCGGGCTGCGGCGGCGCCGGGGTCTGGGCGGAGGTCGAGCCCGACCTGCGCGTCGCGTCGCCGGGAAGCAGCTTGTAGAAGCCCTCACGGGTGCGAAACTGCGACTTGATTTCCGTGCAGTCGCCCATGGCGGCGCCGGGGCCCGGACCGCCCTCCCCGCCGCCCGCCGCCATCTTGGCCGCCCCCCGGGCAGCACCACAGCCAGGCCGCCCGCCGCCGGACCCCCAGACGGAAGTTGCGGAGTTAGCACCGGAAGGGGTAGGGTCGTCGTCCGGGTGACGCCTCTACGATTGGCACCCAGGGCCGGAGGCGGGAGGAGCCGGGACCGTTGCTGAGGTAACGGTTCTGGGGCTGTGGGCAGGGTAAGATGTGGGCGTGGTGGACGCCACAGACGCTGGCATGTGGTTGGCTACTGGCCGTGACCGATGGGAACGCCCCTAGACCCTAACAACCGCTCCCTGGGAACCGTTTGCCTAGCAACGGAGCAACCTCAAAGCCTATTCAGAATCCTCGTGTTGTTACAGCTGACTCCAGTCGATTCTTGCTTTTTTTAACTAAAAAAATTATTGCAAGCATTTATTTTTGTGTTAGTGCGTAGACGAGCATGTAGAGGTCAGAGGAAGTCAAGTGCCCTTCCACCAAGCGGGTCCTAGGGATGGAACTCAGGTCCTCACGCTTGGCAACAAGAGCCATTACCCGCAGAGTCATCTTATTGCCTTTGTTTTGTCTCACGCTTGTAGGCCGGAATGTCCTCAAACTTGACCCAGTCCTCCAGAAGTGCTTGGATTTCAGGCCTGAGACCACACCCAGCTCCTTGTTTCAGTCTAGATCCTCAACGGTATATTTCTCTGCCTTTCCATGTCTGGCTGGCAGCCTGAAGGCCCTCCCCTTCCTCTTTGACCACCTGTGGTCCCCTGCTGCTGTGAGAATGAAGTGAAGCTTTCTGTGACCCATCTAACCTTGCCTGCTTTTTTGTTTTTGTGATGATGGCTAGCTTTGTCAGTTTAACACTAGCGAGATTCACAACGACGGACTGTCTACACTGGGATCCTGGCGGCAGGTCTGTGGGAAACTGATGTGGGAAGACCCAGTCCTTTGTGGGAGGGTGCGCACCCTTCCCTTGTCAGCGGGTCCTGAACTGTGTAAGAGTGGAAAGACAGGCTGAGCACAATCAAGCAAGCACGCATGCATTCCTTCTTCCTACTCCACTCTGGGCATGTTCCTGCTTTGACTTTCCTGCTATAGTGGGCTGTAACTTGGAACTGCAACCTGAAACAGCCTTCTCTCCCCTGAAGTTGCTCTTTGTCAAGGTATTCTTTTTTTTTTTTTTTTTTTTTTTTTTTTTTTTTTTTTGAGACAGGGTTTCTCTGTGTAGCCCCGGCTGTCCTGGAACTTGCTCTGTAGACCAGGCTGGCCTCTGACTCATAGAGATCTGCCTGCCTCTGCCTCCCAAGTGCTGGGATTAAAGGCGTGCAGCCCCCACCACCCAGCTGTTATTTTATATTTTATCATCAACAGAAGAAAAATAGGTCTGTTTTGCCTGCCCTTTTTTTTTTGTGTGAGACAAGCTCTCTAGCTCAGACTGAATTCCACCTCACTTTGAGGCTGAAGAAAACCATCAACTCCAGCTCTTCCTGACTGTCTCTTCCAGGTTAGTGTTATACCGTGTGTGCAGTGGTAGGGATTGAACCCAGGGCTATGTGCATTCTAGGCAGTCACTCGGCCATGGTTGTGAACTGCTATGTGGGTGCTGGTAATCAAACCCAGGTCTTCTGGACAAGCAGGCAGTGTTCTTAACACTGAGTCAACTCTCCGGCCCTAACCCCACACAAACTGACTAACTAGCTAACTAACTAGCTAACTAACAAAAATTGGGCTGTATGACACAAATTCAGTTCCCAGCATCCACATGGGGATGCGGAGATGTGGCTCACAACTGCCTGTAACTCTAGGGGCACAGAATATAGCCCACCCTTCTGGCCTCTGAGGGCATCTGCACACAAATGCACAGACACACATGTACACATAAATGAAAACCAATCTTTAAAAACAAAGAAGTTGGGCAGTGGTGGCACACACCTTTGATCTCAGCGCGTGGGAGGCAGAGGTGGGACGATCTCTCTGAGTTCTGGGCCAGCCTGGTCTACAGAGAAGTTCCAAGACAGCCAGGGCTACACAGAGAAACATTGACTTAAAAAAAATAAAAACAAACAAACATGGAGAACGAATGAGTGAGTCAGCTGCCCAGTATAATGAATGAATGTGTGACTTATCAGCTGTGCTGTGGGGAATTTTATTTGGAGCACTGGGTGCTTTTCTACCCATGTCCTGCAAGGGCAGGGAACAAAACCAACAAGAAAAAATACAATCTGTAACTACATATAAGGGGAAAAGGCTGCGGGAAACAGCCTGGGGACCTCAGTCATCCAGGTCCTCATCCTCCTCCTCTTCCTCATCCTCCTCCTCTTCGTCAGCGGCTGCCAGGGCCTGTTCCTGGGCAGCCTTCAGGGCCTGCTCCTCCTCCACTGTGGGGTCGCTCATCTCCAGGATTTCCGGGCCGCTGGGATACTCCTGCTGAATCAGAGCTGGCAGCAATGGGTTGAAGTTCTCGGGGCTGTACTTGTGACCCCAGCCAATGTAGAGGTTCTCAAACTTCCTGGAGAAACAGGGAGACACTGTCTTTGAGGGTGAGTCTAAGTGTGGCATAGCATCACTGCAGGGTCGCCAGTGGGCAGGTGAAAGCACACACTGGGTATCTCTGTCTGCCCACCCCACACAGGTTTACTGAGCATTGTTCTATGCTCAGCAGATCTAAAGCACACATGCCGTCCCAGCACTCAGGGAGGCAGAGGCAGGCAAATCTGTGAGTTCAAGGCCAGCCTGGTCTACAGAGTGAGTTCCAGAACAGCCAAAGTTACACAGGGAAGCCCTGTCTCAAAAAAAAAAAAAATAAAGTGGCCATGCCAACAAGACAGAAGTGGACCTGAAGAGTGTGTGTGTATATGTGTGTGTGTGTCTGTCTGTTGTCTGTGTGGGTTTGGGCACATGAGTGAAGTGCCTGCAGAGGCCAGAAGAGGGCCTCAGATCTCCTGGTGTCAGAGTCACAGGGAGCTGCGAAGCTGCCAAATATGGGTGCTGAGAACTGAACTCAGGTCTCCTGTAGGACAGCGCCTGCTCTTAACCACCGCCTACTTTTTGAGACAGGTTCTCACCGCTGGCTGGTGGAGAACATGCTATGTAGACAAGGCTGGCCTCAGACTTGTATGCATCTGCTGGCCTCTGCTTCCTGATGTACTACCAAGCTCAGCTCTTCACCAGGTCTGGAGCTCACCAATTCTGCTAGGCTGGCTCACCAGAAGCTCCAAGGATCCATCTGCCTCTGCCTGTTGCCTTACCAGCACTGGGGTTAAACACATGTGGTACTGACCCTGGCTTTTTCATAGGTCCTGGGAATCAAACTCAGGTCCTCCAGGCATGGGCAGCAGGTACTTTGCCCATCAAGCCATCTGCTCCGCCTCTGATGTCTTCTTCCATCACTGATCATTTCGGAGTCTATTGGTTCCTGGTCTCATGTTGTCACCCACCACCACTCCCTTCCTTTACTGACTTCTTACATCACTTCATGGAGCCACAGAGCAGATCTGGTCCAATTGCAGTCGCCTGTGTCTCCTGAGCCTTGTTTGATGACTCAGTTCACACTCTGTCTTGGAGTATTTCCATGGGCACTAGAGAAGAATGTGTATTTCTCTGTTTTGGGGTGGAGAGGCTTTGATTTAATTTTAGTTAATTTCAATTTTAAAAATAAAACTGATACTTAATTTGGTTATTGGAAAACCTCCAAGGAGTCCTGGAACAACTGGGTGCATGAATCTGCTTCTATGTCTCTTCTCTTTGTGGGAGTATGTCACCATGTATCCCAGGCTGGACATAAACTGGAGCTCCTTGTACCTTAGCCTTCTTGGTGCTTAGATAATAGATGTGTATCTGTAGACTGGCTACAGTTATTTTCTTCTTCCCAGTGGTAATAGAGATTGAAACCAGGGTCTCCAAACACTTCACTGCTGCAGGATGGGCCCCAGCCCCTCACTGGGGGATTCTAGGGAAGTGATTTACCACTGAGCTGTAACCTCAGTGGTTACAGCTTTATCTTGAAATACATTCTAGGTGCTCAACCTAGCCTTAAGCTCACCCTGCAGCTAAAGCTGGCCTTGAAACACCCTGTCTTCTTTCTGTGTTGGCTTCCTGATTATCTGAGCTTATTGGAAGCAACTCTTTATGATGAAAACTTCAAATCCAAACGGAGATTCATTTTAGTGAAGAACATGTTTCAGATTTCAAAGACTTGTTATGAAATAATAAAAAATAGACCTAGATAGTGGTAGCACACACCTTTAATTCAAGGACTCGGGAGGCAGAGGCAGTAGAATTTATAGTCTGGCCTACAGACATTCAGACTACATAGAAAGACCTTGTCTAAAAATTGGGGTTTACAGCTGGAGAGATAGTTTAACAGTTAAGAATCTGCTCTTCCAGAGGCCACAGGTTCAATCCACATAGCAGCTCACAATTATCTATAACTATAGTTCCAGTGGTTCTGACCCTCTCACACAGATATACATGCAGACACATGAAATAAAAATAGATAAATCTTTTTAAAAAGTGAAATGAAAAGGCTAGGGGTGTGGCTCAGTGGTAGAGCCCCTGCCTAGAATCCCACAGTGAGGGCCTGGGATGTAGCTCAGCAATAAGGCACTTGTCTAGAACAGGCTAAAACCCTGGGTTCAATCCCAGCACCACAACATGAACAGTCACCTGAACCTCAGGCTCTCTGCTAGATGTTAAAACTAGAATTTTCTTCTTTGCCAGATTTTCAGTGAGCCCTACATATTTCATATGTAAAACTGGTCTAGAATATTTCTTCTGTCTGTCCCTCACTGGTATTTTCTTTCCCTGTGGATTGTAGATTGAAGATTGCTTCTCTCCAGAATCCCCAAGGACTCAAGACACTTAATTAGGAGCTTATCTGCTTCCTAACAGGCTACTGGCTAGCTCGGGTGGGAGAGTGTTGTATGAATGATGACTGCACTTTCTCTACCTGCTCCTACGGATGCATCCATGGCTATGTTTTCAACAAGGGCCTGGTGTCCAGCACACAGCTGCCAAATAGTGACATTCAGAAGTTTCTCTCTTTTCTTTCCCTTTTTTTTCTTTTTGGTCTTCTGTGACAGGGTTTCTCTGTGTAGCCTTGGCTGTTCTGGAACTCTCTGTAGACCAGGCTGGCCTGGAACTCAGAGATCCTCCTGCTCCTGCGGTGTGTGCCACCACACCCAGCCCCAGAGTTTCTTGTAGAGCCAAGTGTGGTGATATATACCTGTAATCCCGGTACTCCAGAAGCTGAGTCAGGGGGATTAGAAGTTCAGGGACAGCCAGGGCAGCACAGTAAGACCCTGTGTCAACAACAAAAAGCTCCTCGGGGGCTAGAGATACAGCAGCACAGGCCAAACAGCCCAGAGCTGATCCTAGAGCCCTTTTAAGAAGTCAGATCTGGTGGTGCACATCTGTAGCTTGGCACTCTGACTGCGAGCTGGGAGGCAGACAGGAGAATCTTGTGTGGGAGCTCAAGGAGCTAGCTCAGAGCACACAGCACAACACAGCACAGAAACAGATGGAGACCCTGCCACAATAAGGTAGGCCTGTGACTTCTGACCTCCACTTGCAGGTGTGGCACATGTGTGGGTGTCACACACACACACACACACACACACACACACACACACACACACACAC